TGAATGCCTGTAGGATTTGTAACGTTGTTGCTGATTGGTTGCTTCTGAGAATGAAAACAACAATAACTCATCTTGTTTTTCTTAATTGCTGCTTAATAACTTTGCTTATTGCTGAATTTTTGTCTTTAAATTAAATATTAACCGATAATACAGTATATGAAGTAACTTTTACCTCTTCTGTCCACCTTATTTTATGTTTAAAACGAAAACTAATTCAACAGAAACAAAAAAATACAAGATGAAATGTTATTGGTTACATTCCCAAAAACAACCAATCAGCAACAACGTTATAAATCCTCTAGGTATTCATGCTTCTGTAGTTTCTACCAATCAAATACAGGTGAGTAGTGACGTCACAAGTGCGGGAAAGCAAAGTATCCTTCTCTTATAACTTGCTGTTGATAACTTGTATGTTTTAAATGCTCAACAGATGGCGCTGAATATTTTTGTGTCCACAAAAACATGAAAAATAAAGTTTTTAAATATTTATCAGCTTAGCAACCTCTCTGATGACTTGTTGACAACTTTTTGTAATAAATGTTGGTAGAATTACCAATAATATTCTACGTAAAAGGACACAAGTGCATCTAATATGACATTTTATTGTGGCAACGTTTCGCTCTCCAGGAGCTGTGATCCAGTTCCTTGAATTATGCCTAAATACCTTCCATCCTCCTCCACAGGCGCTGTATAATCCTTACAGATTTAGCGCTCCCCATCATAGACGTTAAATACAGTATAATTATCAATTATTTATGAAAAATGAAGTTATCAAGTCATGAGAGAGGTTGCTAAGGTGACAAAAGTTTAATTTTCCATGTTTTTGTGGACACAAAATATTCATTCAGCGCCATCTGTTGAGCATATAAAACATACAAGTTATCAACAGCAAGTCATAAGAGAAGGTTACTGTGTTTTCCCGCGCTTGTGACGTCACTACTCACCTGGTATTTGATTGGTAGAAACTACAGAAGCATGAATACCTGAATGGTTTGTAACGTTGTTACTGATTGGTTGTTTTTGGTAATGTAAACAACAATAACTCATCTTGTTTTTCATAATTGCTGCTTAATGACTTTCCTTATTATTGAGTAAGTTTACTGAAGTTTTATCTTTAAATTAAATATTAACCGATAATACAGTATATGTCCACCTTATTTGATGCTTAAAACGAAAACTAATTCAACAGCAAGACATAAAAACAAGATGAAATGTTATTGTTTACATTCCCAAAAACAACCAATCAGCAGCAACGTTACAAATCGTTCAGGTATTCACGCCTCTATAGTTTCTACCAATCAAATACCAGATGAGTAATGACGTCACAAGTGCGGGAAAACACAGTAACCTTCTCTTATGACTTGCTGTTGATAACTTGTATGTTTTAAATTCTCAACAGATGGCGCTGAATATTTTGTGTCCACAAAACACGAAAAATATAAATAAATATATTTATTACTGTATTAACCATTATGGTGGGGAGCGCTAAATCCGTAAGGATTATGCAATGCCTGAGGGACAGAATGGATTATTTATTATAATCATATGGGAGCGTTAAACCCGTATGGATTATACAGCCCGTGTACACTGTCCAGGGGTTACCAGGACAGTTCTTAGGGTCTGTGTACTGTCCATGCATTACCATGGCAGTTCTTAGGGTCTGTGTACTGTCCAGGGGTTACCAGGACAGTTCTTAGGGTCTGTGTACTGTCCCATGCATTACCATGGCAGTTCTTAGGGTCTGTGTACTGTCCAGGGGTTACCAGGACAGTTCTTAGGGTCTGTGTACTGTCCATGCATTACCATGGCAGTTCTTAGGGTCTGTGCACTGTCCAGGGGTTACCAGGACAGTTCTTAGGGTCTGTGTACTGTCCATGCATTACCATGGCAGTTCTTAGGGCCTGTGTACTATCCATGCATTACCATGGCAGTTCTTAGGGTCTGTGTACTGTCCAGGGGTTACCAGGACAGTTCTTAGGGTCTGTGTACTGTCCATGCATTACCATGGCAGTTCTTAAGGTCTGTGCACTGTCCAGGGGTTACCAGGACAGTTCTTAGGGTCTGTGTACTGTCCATGCATTACCATGGCAGTCCTTAGGGTCTGTGTACTGTCCAGGGGTTACGAGGACAGTTCCTACGGTCTGTGTACTGTCCAGGGGTTACCAGGACAGTTCTTAGGGTCTGTGTTCTGTCCAGGGGTTACCAGGACAGTTCTTTGGGTCTGTGTACTGACCAAGGGTTACCAGGACAGTTCTTAGTTACTGTCCAGGGATTACTAGGACAGTTGTTTGGGTCTGTGTACTGTCCAAGGATTACCAATACAATTTAATTCTCAGCGTCTGTATACTGTCCAGGGGTTACCACGACAGTTCATAGGGAAAATTTTTGTGGACATAAATATTCAGCGCCATCTGTTCAACATTTAAAACATACAAGTTATCAACAGCAAGTCATAAGAGAAGGTAACTGTGTTTTCCCGCGCTTGTGACGTCACTACTCACCTGGTATTTGATTGGTAGAAACTACCGAAGCATGAATACCTGTAGGATTTGTAACGATGTTGCTGATTGGTTGTTTTTGGGAATGAAAACAACAATAACTCATCTTGTTTTTCTTAATTGCTGCTTAATGACTTTGCTTATTGCTGAATTATTGTATTTAAATTAAATATTAACCTATAATACAGTATATGAAGTAACTTTTACCTCTTCTGTCCACCTTATTTTATGTTTAAAACGAAAACTAATTCAACAGCAAGAAATAAAAACAAGATGAAATGTTATTGTTTACATTCCCAAAAACAACCAATCAGCAGCAATGTTATAAATCCTACAGGTATTCATGCTTCTGTAGTTTCTACCAATCAAATACCAGGTGGGTAGTGACGTCACAAGCGCGGGAAAACACAGTAACCTTCTCTTATGACTTGCTGTTGATAACTTGTATGTTTTAAATGCTCAACAGATGGCGCTGAATATTTTGTGTCCACAAAAACATGAAAAATAAACTTTTGTCACCTTAGCAACCTCTCTTATGACTTGATAACTTCATCTTACATAAATAATTGATAATTATACTGAATTTAACGTCTATGATGGGGAGCGCTAAATCTGTAAGGATTATACAGCGCCTGTGGAGGAGGATGGAAGGTACTTAGGCATAATTCAATTATTATTATTATTATTATATTATAATCAAGGGGAAGCGCTAAACCCGTAGGATTATACAGCGCCTGGGGGTTGGACGTGGAAGGCATTCAGGTTTAATTCTGGGAACTGGAGCATAGATCCAATTCCCTAAATCAAGAGCCCCTCACCAACATCAAGGAACCTTCCCTGAGGGGCCTGAGGAACAGAATGGATTATTTATTATAATCATACAGGAGCGCTAAACCCGTAGGGGATATACAGCGCCTGTGGAGGAGGATGGAAGGTATTTAGGCATAATTCAAGGAACTGGATCACAGCTCCTGGAGAGCGAAACGTTGCCACAATAAAATGTCATAATAGATGCACTTGTGTCCTTTTACCTAGAATATTATTGGTAATTCTACCAACATTTATTACAAAAAGTTGTCAACAAGTCATCAGAGAGGTTGCTAAGCTGATAAATATTTTTAAAAACTTTATTTTTCATGTTTCTGTGGACACAAAATATTCAGCGCCATCTGTTGAGCATTTAAAACATACAAGTTATCAACAGCAAGTCATAAGAGAAGGTTACTGTGTTTTCCCGCGCTTGTGACGTCACTACTCACCTGGTATTTGATTGGTAGAAACTACAGAAGCATGAATACCTGTAAGATTTATAACATTGCTGCTGATTGGTTGTTTTTGGGAATGTAACCAATAACATTTCATCTTGTTTTTATTTCTTTCAACTGAATTAATTTTCGTTTTAAACATAAAATAAAGTGAACAGAGTTACTTCATATACCGTATTATCGGTTAATATTTAATTTAAAGACAAAAATTCAACAATAAGCAAAATCATCAAGCAGCAATTAAGAAAAACGAGATGAGTTGTTATTGTTTACATTACAAAAACCAACCAATCAGCAACATCGTTATAAATCCAACAGGTATTCACGCCTCTATAGTTTCTACCAATTAAATACCAGATGAGTAGTGACGTCACAAGCGCGGGAAAGCAGAGTAACCTTCTCGTATGACTTGCTGTTGACAACTTGTACGTTTTAAATGCTCAACAGATGGTGCTGAATATTTTGTGTCCACAAAACAAGGGAAAAAATATAATTAAATTATAGTATTGTATTGTATTTAACCGTTATGATGGGGAGCGTTAATCCGTAAAGTAAGGATTATACAATGCCTGAGGGACAGAATGGATTGCATATTATAATCATATGGGAGGGGTAAACCCGTAGGGATTATACAGCTCCTGTGTACTGTCCAGAGGTTACCAGGGATGTTCTTAGGGGTCTGTGTACTGTCCAGGGGTTACGAGAACTGTTCTTAAGGTCTGTGTACTGTCCAGGGTTACCAGGACTGTTCTTAAGGTCTGTGTACTGTCCATGGTTACCAGGACAGTTCTTAGGGTCTGTGTACTGTCCAGGGGTTACCAGGACTGTTCTTAAGATCTGTGTACTGTCCAGGGGTTACCGGGACTGTTCTTAAGATCTGTGTACTGTCAAGGGTTACCAGGACTGTTCTTAAAGTCTGTGTACTGCCCAGGGTTACCAGAACTGTTCTTAAAATCTGTGTACTGTCTAGGGTTACCAGGACTGTTCTTAAGATGTGTGTACTGTCCAGGGTTACCAGGACTGTTCTTAAGGTCTGTGTACTGTTCAGGGTTACCAGGACTGTTCTTAAGATCTGTGTACTGTCCAGGGTTACCAGGACAGTTCTTAAGGTCTGTGTACTGTCCAGGGTTACCAGGACAGTTCTTAAGGTCTGTGTACTGTCCAGGGTTACCAGGACTGTTCTTAAGGTCTGTGTACTGCCCAGGGGTTACCAGGACTGTTCTTAAGGTCTGTGTACTGTCCAGGGGTTACCAGAACTGTTCTTAAGGTCTGTGTACTGTCCAGGGTTACCAGGACTGTTCTTAAGGTCTGTGTACTGTCCAGGGTTACCAAGACAGTTCTTAAGGTCTGTGTACTGTTCAGGGTTACCAGGACTGTTCTTAAGATCTGTGTACTGTCCAGGGTTACCAGGACAGTTCTTAGGGTCTGTGTACTGTCCATGCATTACCATGGCAGTTCTTAGGGTCTGTGCACTGTCCAGGGGTTACCAGGACAGTTCTTAGGGTCTGTGTACTGTCCATGCATTACCATGGCAGTTCTTAGGGTCTGTGTACTGTCCAGGGGTTACCAGGACAGTTCTTAGGGCCTGTGTACTATCCATGCATTACCATGGCAGTTCTTAGGGTCTGTGTACTGTCCAGGGGTTACCAGGACAGTTCTTAGGGTCTGTGTACTGTCCATGCATTACCATGGCAGTTCTTAAGGTATGTGCACTGTCCAGGGGTTACCAGGACAGTTCTTAGGGTCTGTGTACTGTCCAGGGGTTACGAGGACAGTTCCTACGGTCTGTGTACTGTCCAGGGGTTACCAGGACAGTTCTTAGGGTCTGTGTTCTGTCCAGGGGTTACCAGGACAGTTCTTTGGGTCTGTGTACTGACCAAGGGTTACCAGGACAGTTCTTAGTTACTGTCCAGGGATTACTAGGACAGTTGTTTGGGTCTGTGTACTGTCCAAGGATTACCAATACAATTTAATTCTCAGCGTCTGTATACTGTCCAGGGGTTACCACGACAGTTCATAAGGAAAATTTTTGTGGACATAAATATTCAGCGCCATCTGTTCAACATTTAAAACATACAAGTTATTAACAGCAAGTCATAAGAGAGGGTAACTGTGTTTTCCCGCGCTTGTGACGTCACTACTCACCTGGTATTTGATTGGTAGAAACTACCGAAGCATGAATACCTGTAGGATTTGTAACGATGTTGCTGATTGGGTTGTTTTTGGGGATGAAAACAACAATAACTCATCTTGTTTTTCTTAATTGCTGCTTAATGACTTTGCTTATTGCTGAATTATTGTATTTAAATTAAATATTAACCTATAATACAGTATATGAAGTAACTTTTACCTCTTCTGTCCACCTTATTTTATGTTTAAAACGAAAACTAATTCAACAGCAAGAAATAAAAACAAGATGAAATGTTATTGTTTACATTCCCAAAAACAACCAATCAGCAACAACGTTATAAATCCTATAGGTATTCATGCTTCTGTAGTTTCTACCAATCAAATACCAGGTGAGTAGTGACGTCACAAGCGCGGGAAAACACAGTAACCTTCTCATATGACTTGCTGTTGATAACTTGTATGTTTTAAATGTTCAACAGATGGCGCTGAATATTTTGTGTCCACAAAAACATGAAAAATAAACTTTTGTCACCTTAGCAACCTCTCTTATGACTTGATTACTTCATATTACATAAATAATTGATAATTATACTGTATTTAACATCTTTGATGGGGAGCACAAAATCTGTAAGGATTATATTATACAATGCCTGAGGGACAGAATGGATTATTATAGTCATACGGGAGCGCTAAACCCGTAGGGATTATACAGCGCCTGTGGAGGAGGATTGAAGGTGCTTAGGCATAATTCAATTATTATTATTATTATTATTATTATTATTATTATTATTATAATCAAGGGGAAGCGCTAAACCCGTAGGATTATACAGTGCCTGGGGGTTGGACGTGGAAGGCATTCAGGCTTAATTCTGGGAACTGGAGCACAGATCCAATTCCCTAAATCAAGAGCCCCTCACCAACATCAAGGAACCTTCCCTGAGGGGCCTGAGGAACAGAATGGATTATTTATTATAATCATACAGGAGCGCTAAACCCGTAGGGGATATACAGCGCCTGTGGAGGAGGATGGAAGGTATTTAGGCATAATTCAAGGAACTGGATCACAGCTCCTGGAGAGCGAAACGTTGCCACAATAAAATGTCATAATAGATGCACTTGTGTCCTTTTACCTAGAATATTATTGGTAATTCTACCAACATTTATTACAAAAAGTTGTCAACAAGTCATCAGAGAGGTTGCTAAGCTGATAAATATTTTTAAAAACTTTATTTTTCATGTTTTTGTGGACACAAAATATTCAGCGCCATCTGTTGAGCATTTAAAACATACAAGTTATCAACAGCAAGTCATAAGAGAAGGTTACTGTGTTTTCCCGCGCTTGTGACGTCACTACTCACCTGGTATTTGATTGGTAGAAACTACAGAAGCATGAATACCTGTAGGATTTATAACATTGCTGCTAATTGGTTGTTTTTGGGAATGTAAACAATAACATTTCATCTTGTTTTTATTTCTTGCTGTTGAATTAGTTTTCATTTTAAACAAAATAACATGAACACAAGAGATAAGAGTTCCTTCATATACTGTATTATAGATTAATGTTTAATTTAAAAACAAAAATTCAGCAATAAGCTAAGTTATTAAGCAGTAATTAAGAAAAAAAAATGAGTTGTTATTGTTTACATTACCAAAAACAACCAATCAGCAACAACGTTACAAAACTTTCAGGTATTCATGCTTCTGTAGTTTCTACCAATCAAATACCAGGTGGGTAGTGACGTCACAAGCGCGGGAAAACACAGTAACCTTCTCTTATGACTTGCTGTTGATAACTTGTATGTTTTAAATGCTCAACAGATGGCGCTGAATATTTTGTGTCACAAAAACATGGGAAAATAAACTTTTGTCACTTAGCAAACCTCTTTGACTTGATAATTCATTTACATAAATAATGATAATTTACTGAATTTAACGTCTATGATGGGGAGCGCTAAATCTGTAAGGATTATACAGGCCTGGGGACGAGATGGAGGTACTTAGGCATAATTCAATTATTATATTTTTATTATTTATTATAATCAGGGAAGCGCTAAACCCGTAGGATTATACAGCGCCTGGGGGTTGGACGTGGAAGGCATTCAGGTTAATTTGGGAACTGGAGCAAGATCAATTCCCTAAATCAAGAAGCCCTCACCAACATCAAGGAACTTCCCTGAGGGGCCTGAGGAACAGAATGGATTATTTATTATAATCATACAGGAGCGCTAAACCCGTAGGGGATATACAGCGCCTGTGGAGGAGGATGGAAGGTATTTAGGCATAATTCAAGGAACTGGATCACAGCTCCTGGAGAGCGAAACGTTGCCACAATAAAATGTCATAATAGATGCACTTGTGTCCTTTTACCTAGAATATTATTGGAAATTCTACCAACATTTATTACAAAAAGTTGTCAACAAGTCATCAGAGAGGTTGCTAAGCTGATAAATATTTTTAAAAAGTTTATTTTCATGTTTTTGTGGACACAAAATATTCAGCGCCATCTGTTGAGCATTTAAAACATACAAGTTATCAACAGCAAGTCATAAGAGAAGGTTACTGTGTTTTCCCGCGCTTGTGACGTCACTACTCACCTGGTATTTGATTGGTAGAAACTACAGAAGCATGAATACCTGTAAGATTTATAACATTGCTGCTAATTGGTTGTTTTTGGGAATGTAACCAATAACATTTCATCTTGTTTTTATTTCTTTCAACTGAATTAATTTTCGTTTTAAACATAAAATAAAGTGAACAGAGTTACTTCATATACTGTATTATCGGTTAATATTTAATTTAAAGACAAAAATTCAACAATAAGCAAAATCATCAAGCAGCAATTAAGAAAAACGAGATGAGTTGTTATTGTTTACATTACAAAAACCAACCAATCAGCAACATCGTTATAAATCCAACAGGTATTCACGCCTCTATAGTTTCTACCAATTAAATACCAGATGAGTAGTGACGTCACAAGCGCGGGAAAGCAGAGTAACCTTCTCGTATGACTTGCTGTTGACAACTTGTATGTTTTAAATGCTCAACAGATGGTGCTGAATATTTTGTGTCCACAAAACAAGGGAAAAATATAATTAAATTATAGTATTGTATTGTATTTAACCGTTATGATGGGGAGCGCTAAATCCGTAAGGATTATACAATGCCTGAGGGACAGAATGGATTGCATATTATAATCATATGGGAGGGGTAAACCCGTAGGGATTATACAGCTCCTGTGTACTGTCCAGAGGTTACCAGGGATGTTCTTAGGGGTCTGTGTACTGTCCAGGGGTTACGAGAACTGTTCTTAAGGTCTGTGTACTGTCCAGGGTTACCAGGACTGTTCATAAGGTCTGTGTACTGTCCATGGTTACCAGGACAGTTCTTAGGGTCTGTGTACTGTCCAGGGGTTACCAGGACTGTTCTTAAGATCTGTGTACTCTCCAGGGGTTACCAGGACTGTTCTTAAGATCTGTGTACTGTCCAGGGGTTACCGGGACTGTTCTTAAGATCTGTGTACTGTCAAGGGTTACCAGGACTGTTCTTAAAGTCTGTGTACTGTCCAGGGTTATCAGGACTGTTCTTAAGATGTGTGTACTGTCCAGGGTTACCAGGACTGTTCTTAAGATCTGCGTAATGTCCAGGGTTACCAGGACTGTTCTTAAGATTTGTGTACTGTCCAGGGTTACCAGGACAGTTCTTAAGGTCTGTGTACTGTCCAGGGTTACCAGGACTGTTCTTAAGGTCTGTGTACTGCCCAGGGGTTACCAGGACTGTTCTTAAGGTCTGTGTACTGTCCAGGGGTTACCAGAACTGTTCTTAAGGTCTGTGTACTGTCCAGGGTTACCAGGACTGTTCTTAAGGTCTGTGTACTGTCAAGGGTTACCAAGACAGTTCTTAAGGTCTGTGTACTGTTCAGGGTTACCAGGACTGTTCTTAAGATCTGTGTACTGTCCAGGGTTACCAGGACAGTTCTTAAGGTCTGTGTACTGTCCAGGGGTTACCAGGACTGTTCTTAAGGTCTGTGTACTGTCCAGGGTTACCAGGACTGTTCTTAAGGTCTGTGTACTGTCCAGGGGTTACCAGGACTGTTCTTAAGGTCTGTGTACTGTCCAGGGTTACCAGGACTGTTCTTAAGGTCTGTGTACTGTCCAGGGTTACCAGGTCTGTTCTTAAGGTCTGTGTACTGTCCAGGGTTACCAGGACTGTTCTTAAGGTCTGTGTACTGTCCAGGGGTTACCAGGACTGTTCTTAAGGTCTGTGTACTGTCCAGGGTTACCAGGACTGTTCTTAAGATCTGTGTACTGTCCAGGGTTACCAGGACTGTTCTTAAGGTCTGTGTACTGTCCAGGGTTACAAGGACAGTTCTTAAGGTCTGTGTACTGTCCAGGGTTACCAGGACTGTTCTTAAGGTCTGTGTACTGTCCAGGGTTACCAGGACAGTTCTTAAGGTCTGTGTACTGTCCAGGGTTGCAAGGACAGTTCTTAAGGTCTGTGTACTGTCCAGGGTTACCAGGACAGTTCTTAAGGTCTGTGTACTGTCCAGGGTTACCAGGACAGTTCTTAAGGTCTGTGTACTGTCCAGGGTTACCAGGACAGTTCTTAAGGTCTGTGTACTGTCCAGGGTTACCAGGACAGTTCTTAATGTCTGTGTACTGTCCAGGGTTACCAGGACTGTTCTTAAGGTCTGTGTACTGCCCAGGGGTTACCAGGACTGTTCTTAAGGTCTGTGTACTGTCCAGGGTTACCAGGACAGTTCTTAACGTCTGTGTACTGTATAATATCTATAATAATACTTGTCTTCGACAAAATTAACTTCAGATTTCAATTAGTTTAGTTTTCTATTGAAATTTTTTTTTAAAATAGCTTTTGCTTTTATTTTCGTTTTCTTTGATTTTTGTCAAAGAAAATCTCTCATATTTAATGCCAAACTAAACTAAATTTCTGTTACTGTTTCTGTGGCTGTAATAAATAATTTTCGTTAATCTATTTTTTGAGGGTGGTTTGAGGGGCTTCCGCTAAACCCGTATGGGTCGTTCGGTGCATATAGGCGGTGGGAGCTGATGGGGTTTGGTTCGACAAAGGGGAGGAACGCTCCAGTTCCTTGGATAAAGAGACGAAGAGGGAGGATTCTGAAGTTATCTAGTATGTAAGTACGCAATTAAGTAAGTAAGTAGGTAAGTAAGTAGGTAAGTAAGTAGGTAAGAAAGTAGGTAAGTAAACAGGTACGTAGGTAAGTAAATAGGTAAGTAAGTAGGTAAGTAATTAGGTAAATAAGTAGGTAAATAGCTAAGTAGGTAAGTAAACAGGTAAGTTGGTAAGTAATAAATCAACTAGGGGTCTTGAAGACCACCAGGGGTCTTGAAGACCACCAGGGGTCTTGAAGACCACCAGGGGTCTTGAAGACCACCAGGGGTCTTGAAGACAACCAGGGCTCTTGAAGACCACCAGGGGTCTTGAAGACAACCAGGGATCTTGAAGACAACCAGGGGTCTTGAAGACAACCAGGGGTCTTGAAGACAGCCAGGGGTCTTGAAGACAACCAGGGGTCTGGAAGACAACCAGGGGTCTTGAAGACAGCCAGGGGTCTTGAAGACAACCAGGGGTCTTGAAGACAACCAGGGGTCTTGAAGACAGCCATGGGTCTTGAAGACAACCAGGGGTCTTGAAGACAACCAGGGGTCTTGAAGACAACCAGGGGTCTTGAAGACAGCCAGGGGTCTTGAAGACAACCAGGGGTCTTGAAGACAACCAGGGGTCTTGAAGACAACCAGGGGTCTTGAAGACAGCCAGGGGTCTTGAAGACAACCAGGGGTCTTGAAGACAACCAGGGGTCTTGAAGACAACCAGGGGTCTTGAAGACAACCAGGGGTCTTGAAGACAGCCAGGGGTCTTGAAGACAACCAGGGGTCTTGAAGACAACCAGGGGTCTTGAAGACAACCAGGGGTCTTGAAGACAACCAGGGGTCTTGAAGACAACCAGGGGTCTTGAAGACAACCAGGGATCTTGAAGACAACCAGGGGTCTTGAAGACAACCAGGGGTCTTGAAGACAGCCAGGGGTCTTGAAGACAACCAGGGGTCTTGAAGACAACCAGGGGTCTTGAAGACAACCAGGGGTCTTGAAGACAGCCAGGGGTCTTGAAGACAACCAGGGGTCTTGAAGACAACCAGGGGTCTTGAAGACAACCAGGGGTCTTGAAGACAGCCAGGGGTCTTGAAGACAACCAGGGGTCTTGAAGACAACCAGGGGTCTTGAAGACAACCAGGGGTCTTGAAGACTTTGGAATTCAGAGTTGCAATATTAACAATAACATCAAGTACGGTAGTGAACATGATTCAGAATGTTTTCCAGGTCACATAACATCACATAACGTCACATAACGTCACGTCACTGAACATTAGTCATATACTCGACGTAGGGACCCTGAGTTGGCAACGCAGCAACCGGAAATCAGATTACAGTCTGATAGGCGGTGTCTGTACGTTAGTGGGAGTGCCAGCGAACGTACGTGGGTGCGTTAGTGTGCTCTGGGTGTCCGTGGTGTGTTAATGTGCTCTGAACGTACGTGGGGTCCGTTAATGTGTTCTGGGCGTCCATGGTGTGCGTTAGTCTGCTCTGAACGTACGTGGGGTATCCCAGGATATCTCAGCTTGTGTAGGTATCCCAGGATATCCCAAGTTGTGAAGATATCCTAGAGTATACCTGGAGAGTTTTTTGGGGGTCAACGCCCTCTCAGCCCGGTCTGTGACCATACCTCATGGTGGATTAGGGCCTGATCAACCAGGCTGTTACTGTTGGCTGCACGTAAACCGACGTACGAACCACAACCCGGCTGGCCAGGTACCGAATTTAGATGCCTGTCCAGCGCCTTCTTGAAGACAGCCAGGGGTCTTGAAGACAGCCAGGGGTCTTGAAGACAGCCAGGGGTCTTGAAGACAGCCAGGGGTTTTGAAGACAGCCAGGGGTCTTGAAGACAGCCAGGAGTCTTGAAGACAGCCAGGAGTCTTGAAGACAGCCAGGGGTCTTGAAGACAGCCAGGGGTCTTGAAGACAGCCAGGGGTCTTGAAGACAGCCAGGGGTCTTGAAGACAGCCAGGAGTCTTGAAGACAGCCAGGGGTCTTGAAGACAGCCAGGGGTCTTGAAGACAGCCAGGGGTCTTGAAGACAGCCAGGAGTCTTGAAGACAGCCAGGGGTCTTGAAGACAGCCAGGGGTCTTGAAGACAGCCAGGGGTCTTGAAGACAACCAGGGGTCTATTGGTAATCCCCCTTTATGTATGCTGGGAGGCAATTGAACAGTCGGGGGCCCCGGACACTGCTATCATCTGTGTAGGACCCATCTTGTTTAAGTAGGGGCCCAATACTGGACGTTGTTCTAGACTTTGATTTGGCACAAGAAAAATATTTGTTTTTTTTTTTTTCAATTTCATTTATGGATTTTATTTCTTCCCGCGATTCCTGACTCCTGTAAGATTCCTTTAGCTTAATTAAGTTCCTTGTTTGATATATCTCTGACCAGTGTCTCCCTACGTATTACAGATATCTATCTCAGGATATCCCAGCTCGTGAAGGTATCCCAGGATATTTATCTCAGGATACCCCAGCTTGTGAAGGTATCCCAGGATATTTATCTCAGGATACCCCAGCTTTTGAAGATATCCGAGGATATTTATCTCAGGATACCCCAGCTTGTGAAGGTATCCCAGGATATTTATCTCAGGATATCCCAGCTTGTGAAGGTATCCCAGGATATTTATCTCAGGATATCCCAGCTTGTGAAGGTATCCCAGGATATTTATCTCAGGATATCCCAGCTTTTGAAGGTATCCCAGGATATTTATCTCAGGATATCCCAGCTTGTGAAGGTATCCCAGGATATTTATCTCAGCATATCCCAGCTTGTGAAGGTATCCCAGGATATTTATCTCAGCATATCCCAGCTTGTGAAGGTATCCCAGGATATTTATCTCAGGATATCCCAGCTTGTGAAGGTATCCCAGGATATTTATCTCAGCATATCCCAGCTTGTGAAGGTATCCCAGGATATTTATCTCAGGATATTCCAGCTTGTGAAGGTATCCCAGGATATTTATCTCAGGATATCCAGCTTGGGGAAGGTATCCCAGGATATTTATCTCAGGATATCCCAGCTTGTGAAGGTATCCAGGATATTTATCTCAGGATATCCCAGCTTGTGAAGGTATCCCAGGATATTTATCTCAGGATATCCCAGCTTGTGAAGGTATCCCAGGATATTTATCTCAGGATATCCCAGCTTGTGAAGGTATCCCAGGATATTTATCTCAGCATATCCCAGCTTGTGAAGGTATCCCAGGATATTTATCTCAGGATATCCCAGCTTGTGAAGATATCCCAGGATATTTATCTCAGGATATCCCAGCTTGTGAAGGTATCCCAGGATAAATTTATCTCAGGATATCCCAGCTTATGAAGGTATCCCAGGATATTTATCTCAGCATATCCCAGCTTGTGAAGGTATCCCAGGATATTTATCTCAGGATATCCCAGCTTGTGAAGGTATCCCAGGATATTTATCTCAGGATATCCAGCTTGTGAAGGTATCCAGGATATTTATCTCAGGATATCCCAGCTTGTGAAGGTATCCCAGGATATTTATCTCAGGATTATCCCAGCTTGTGAAGGTATCCCAGGATATTTATCTCAGCATATCCCAGCTTGTGAAGGTATCCAGGATATTATCTCAGGATATCCCAGCTTGTGAAGGTATCCCAGGATATTTATCTCAGGATATCCCAGCTTGTGAAGGTATCCCAGGATATTTATCTCAGGATATCCCAGCTTGTGAAGGTATCCCAGGATATTTATCTCAGGATATCCCAGCTTGTGAAGGTATCCCAGGATATTTATCTCAGGATATCCCAGCTTGTGAAGGTATCCCAGGATATTTATCTCAGGATATCCCAGCTTGTGAAGGTATCCCAGGATATTTATCTCAGGATATCCCAGCTTGTGAAGGTATCCCAGGATATTTATCTCAGGATATCCCAGCTTGTGAAGGTATCCCAGGATATTTATCTCAGGATATCCCAGCTTGTGAAGGTATCCCAGAATATTTATCTCAGGATATCCCAGCTTGTGAAGGTATCCCAGGATATTTATCTCAGGATATCCCAGCTTGTGAAGGTATCCCAGGATATTTATCTCAGGATATCCCAGCTTGTGAAGGTATCCCAGGATATCCCAGCTTGTGAGGGTATCCCAGATATCTATCCCAGGATATCCCAACTATCTTATCCTTTCAGATCACTGAATATCAGCCAATCAGAAGACGTCTGAGGATGGAGCAGGCCTGTGATTGGCCCTTCAAGAACACTCTGAATGTTCTGTTGAACAAGCATGAAGTTCTGAAGGAGGCCAACCAGGTCACAGAACACGGAGAACAGGACGTAGAACATGGAGAACAGGACGTAGAACATGGAGAACAGGACGTAGAACATGGAGAACAGGACGTAGAACATGGAGAACAGGACGTAGAACATGGAGAACAGAACGTAGAACATAAACAGGACGTAGAACATGGAGAACAGGACGTAGAACTTGGAGAACAGGACGCAGAACATGAACAGGACGTAGAACATGGAGAACAGGACGTAGAACATGGAGAACAGGACGTAGAACATGGAGAACAGGACGTAGAACATGGAGAACAGGACGTAGAACATGAACAGGACGTAGAACATGGAGAACAGGACGTAGAACATGGGGAACAGGACGTAGAACATGAACAGAACGTAGAACATGGAGAACAGGACGTAGAACATGGAGAACAGGACGTAGAACATGGAGAACAGGACGTAGAACGTGGAGAACAGGACGTAGAACATGGAGAACAGAACACAGAACACGTAGAACCGGCCGTAGAACACGGAGAACAAGCCATCAACAACAGAGAACAGGAAGAACAAGACATAGAACACGGAGAACAGGCCATCCAGAACACAGCAGACAGCTCAGACACCACCAGGAAGACAGAACAACGAAATAACAGCAATAAACAAGGGAAGAGAGAGAGACAGCAAGAAATTAGAGACATAAGAGAGACGAGAAGTAACAAGGAAGAGGCAAAAATGGATAAAAACGGGAATAAGAAAGCAGAAGAAAGCCACAGAAAGGAGGAAATAGACCAGAAAGGTGACATAAACAGCCCCAATGAAGGGGGAAGTGGTAGAAAGTCCAATAAACGAGGTAATAAAGGCACTGTAAAAGACAAAGATGGTAGAACGAGAGAGACAGAACAGACTGAAGAACAGAAGGAAAGAGAACAGGGAGAGATAAAGCAAGGAGATAAAAAGAGCAGTGAGAGAGAAAGAGGGAATAGAGAGGAGAGAATAAAGACGAGAGAGAGAGATAAGAACAACACAGAACAGAAAGAACACAAGTCACAGAAGAAGACAGAACAGAGAACAAAACACAAGAACAAAACCCAGAGAAACACAGAACACAAGAACAAGGGATATCTGTACTTAAAAAAAAAGGTAAGATATATATATATATATATATATATATATATATATATATATATATATATATATATATATATATATATATATATATATATATATATACAAGGATAGTATACTATCCTAGCATAGGCAGCAGCTGGTAGTAGTGTACAGTAAGATAGCTGACACAATCTAAGTCAGCACAATTCCTGTCACCTCTGCTGTCAGCAAATTTCAAACTGCTACATTCTCACTCATCCTTCAGAGTACAGGTACTGTACTTCCCACCTCCAGAACTGTAACATTCTCACTCATCCTTCAGAGTACAGGTACTGTACTTCCCACCTCCAGAACTGTAACATTCTCACTCATCCTTCAGAGTACAGGTACTGTACTTCCCACCTCCAGAACTGTAACATTCTCACTCATCCTTCAGAGTACAGGTACTGTACTTACCACCTCCAGAACTGTAACTTTCCCACTCACCCTTCAAAGTACGGTACTGTCTTCCCCCCTCCAGAACTGAACTTTCTCATCACCCCTTGAGTACAGGTACTGACTTCCCCCAACTCCAAAATGTAACCCCTCCTCATCCTTCGATACAGGTACTGTACCCCCCACCTCAGAACGTAACTTTCTCATCATCCTTCGAGTCGGGTACGTACTTCCCCCTCCAGAACGTAACTTTCCACTCATCCTTCAGAGTACAGGTACGATTTCCCCACCTCAGAACGTAACTCCTCATACCTTAAAGGTACAGGTACTGTACTCCCACTCCAAACTGAAAATTTCCTCACTCACCCTTCAGAGTACAGGTACTGAAATTCCACCCCGAACTGTAACACCCAAATCACCCTTAGATACGGGTACTTATTCCCACCCGAACTGTACATCCCCTCTCCTTCAAGTACGGTACTGTTTTCCCCCACCTCCGATGTAACATCCTCACTCATCCTTCAGAGACGGTACTGTACTTCCCCCCCCCCCCCAGAACTGAAACATCTCCTCATCCTTCAGATACAGGTACTGTACTTCCCACCCCAAACGTAACATTCACTCACCCTTCGAGTAAGGATGTACTTCCCACCCCCGAACTGAACACCCTCATCATCCTTCAGAGTACAGGTACTGTACTTCCCCCCCAGAACTGTAAATCCCCCTCATCCTTCGAGTACAGGTACTGTATTTCCACCTCCGAACTGTAACATTCTCACCCCCTTAATACGGGTCTGTTTTTCCCACCCCCATTTACTGTAACATTCCACTCATTTCAGAGTACAGGTCGTACTTCCACCTCCAGACTGTAACATTCTCACCATCCTTCAGAGTACAGGTACTGTACTTCCCACCCCAGAAGTAACATCCTCATCTTCCTTAGAGTACAGGACGTACTTCCCATCCAGACTGTAACATCCCATCATCCTTTTCAGAAAAGTCTGTAATTCCCCCCTCCGAACTGTAAATCCTCACCATCCTTCAGGTACAGGTACGTATTCCCCCTCAGAACTGTAACATTTCATCACCCTTCAGAGACAGTACTGTACTTCCCACCCCAAAAACTGTAACTTTCTCATCACCTTCAAGAAAGGTACTGTATTTCCCCCTCCAGACTGTAACATCTCATCATCCTTAGAGTCAGGTCTGACTTCCCCCTCCAGAACGTCTTTCACTCATCCTTCGAGTACCGGTCTGTACTTCCCACCCCCAGAACTGTAACACTCATATCTTCAGAGACGGGTCGTACTTCCCACCTCCGAACTGAACTTTCCTCATCACCTTCAGAGTACAGGTACTGTACCCCCACCTCCAGACTGTAACACCCTAACTCCCCTTCAGAGTACAGGTACTGTATTCCCACCTCAAACTGTAACCTCACTCACCCTTTCAGAGTACAGTACTGTCTTCCCACCCCAGAACTGTAACATCTCATCCCCTTCAAGACAGGTACTGTATTCCCCCCTCCGAACTGTAACATCCCATCATCCTTCGAGTACAGGTACTGTATTCCCCCCCCAAAACTGTAAACCCTCATTTCCCCTGGTAAGGTACTGTATTCCCCACCTCAGAACTGTAACATCTCACTCATCCTTCAGAGTCAGGTACGTACTTCCCCACCTCAGAACTGTAAATCCATCATCTTCAAGTACAGGTCTGTACTTCCCACCCCCAAAATGAAAACATCTCACTACCTTCGAGACAGGTACTGTCTTCCCCCCCGACTGTAACATCCCCCTCATCCTTAGAGTACGGTTCTGTATTTCCCCACCCCCAGAACGAACATCCTCACTACCCTTCAGAGTAAGGTCTGTACTTCCCACCCCCCAAAACTGTAACACCCTATACCCTGGGAAACGGGTACTGTACCCCCACTCAAAACTGTAACATCCTACTCATCCTTCAGAGTACAGGACTGTACTTCCACCCCCAAAAACTGTACACCTCACAAAACCCTTCAGAGTACGGGTATTTACTTCCCCCTCAAAAAAAAAGAAAAAAAAAAGAAAAAAAAAAAAGAAGGGAAGAAAAAAAAGAAAAACCAGAAAGGAGAAAAAAAGAAGAAAAAAATTTTTTAGAAAAAAAAAAAAAAAAAAAGAAACCCCCCCATTTAAAAAGGAGAAAAAAAAAAACGAAAAAAGAAAGGGACCCCACCCCAGAAAAAAAACCCAGAGAAGGAACCCACCCAAAACGTCATTCCATCCCCTTCGGGTACAGGTACTGTATTCCCCCCTCCAAAACTGAAACATCCTCACTCTCCTTCGAGTAAGGTACTGACTTCCCCCCCCAGAATGAAAACATCCAACCACCCCTTCAGGTCAGGTACTGTATTCCACCTCCAAAAACTGTAACATTCTCACTCTCCTTGGGTAAGGTACTGTACCCCCACCCCCCAGAACTGTAAATTCTCACTCACCCTTCAGAGTACAGGTACTGTACTTCCCCTCCAGAACTGTAACATCCTCACTATCCTTCGGTACAGTACTGTTTCCCCACTCCGAACTGAACTCCTCACTCTCCTTCGGTACAGGTCTGTATTTCCCCACCTCCAAATGTAACATCCTAAATCATCTTCAAGACAGGTACTGTACTTCCCACCTCAAAACTGTAACATCCTCACTCATCCTTCAGAGACAGGTACGTATTCCCACCCCCAGAACTGTAACATCCCCACACCCTTTCAAGTACAGGTACTGTATTCCACCCCAAACTGTAACATCCTCCTCATCCTTCAGAGTACGGTCTGTACTTCTACCTCCAGAACTGTAACTCCTCACCATCCTTCAGAGTACAGGTACTGACTTCCACCCGAACGTAACCCCTCATCACCCTTAGGTACGGGGTATGTACTTCCCCCCTCCAGAATTAAATCCTCACCATCCTTAGAGTACGGGTATGTACTTCCCCCCCCAGAACGTAACATTCTCATCATCCTTCAGAGTACAGGAACTGATTTCCCCCCTCCAGAACGAACATCCCATCCCCTTCAGATACGGTACTGTATTTTTCCCCTCCAGAACTGAAACCCTTCTCATCTCTTCAGAGTACAGGTACGTACCCCCCACCTCCAGAACTGAAACCTCACTCATCCTTCAGAGTACAGGTACTTATTCCCACCTCCAGAATGTAACATTCTACCACCCTTCAGATACAGGTACGTTTTCCCACCTCCAGAATTAAAACATTCTCACTCATCCTTCAGGTACAGGTACGTTTCCCACCTCCAGACTGTAACATTCTCACTCCCTTCAGAGTCGGGTATTACTTCCCACCCCAGAACGTAACATCCTCACTCACCCTTCAGAGTACAGGTTGTATTTCCCACCCCCAGAACTGAAACTCCTCAACACCTTCAGAGAAAGGTACTTTTTTCCCCACCCCCCTTTCTGAAACTCCTACTCATCCTTCAGAGTACGGGTACTGTACTTCCACCCCCAGAACGTAACTCTCACTCACCTTCAGAGTACAGGTATGTATTCCCCCTTTAAAAACTGTAACATCCTACTATCCTTCAGGTACGGGTACTGTACTTCCCCACCTCCAGAAATGTAAATCCTCACTTACCTTCAGAGTACGGGTACTGTACTTCCACCCCAGAACGTAACATTCTCACTCACCCTTCAGAGTACAGGTACTGTACTTCTCACCCCAAAAACTGTAAACCCTCACTATCCTTCAGATACGGTACGTATTTTCCCACCTCCAGAACTGAAAACTTTCCCTCTCACCCTTCAGAGTACGGTACGTACTTCCCCCCTCCAAAAAACGTAAACATTCTCACTCACCTTCAGAGTCGGGTACGTACTTCCACCCCCAAAAATGTAACACCCTCCTCATCCTTCAGATACGGGTACTTACTTCCCACCCCCAGGACTGAAACTCCTCACTCATCTTCAGGTACATCGTATTCCACCTCCAAAACTGAAACACCTCACTCATCTTCAGGTACGGTACTGAAATTCCACCCCAAAACTTAAATCCTCCTACCCTTCAGATACAGGTATGTACCCCCACCCCAGCTGTACATCCTCATATCCTTCAGAGTAAGGTACTGTATTTCCCACCCCCAGAACTGTCATTCTCACCACCCTTTCGATACGGGTACTGTATTTCCCCCCCCAGAACTGAAACATCTCACTCATCCTTCAGAGTACAGGTCTGTACTTCCCACTCCAAATGTAACATCCTCACTCATCCTTAGAGACAGGTACTGTATTCCCCACCCCCAGTACTTTTTAACATCCCATACCCTTTTAAGTCGGGTACTGTATTCACCTCCCAGTACTGTAAACCCTCATCATCCTTCAGGTCAGGTACGTCTTCCACCTCCAGAAGTAACCCTCACACACCCTTCAGAGTATGTTTTTAGAAAGGATTGATTTCATCACACAAAGTGAACTTCCACATCCGGTGTTGTTGTTTTGGGGGTGTTGTGTGTGTTGGTGTGTGTTTTTGTTGTGTTGTGTGTGTGTGTGGGTGTGTTTTTACTCACCTATTTGTACTCCTTTTTTTGGGGTTTTGCGGGGTCGAGTCAAGCC